GTGCTCGGCCGGGGCGCGGGGGAGCTCGGGCTTTGCCGGCCTCACGGAATAAAGATGGTGACACTGCCAAACCAAGGCCGGAAGCGGCCGGTGGCGTTGGGGCTCCCCAGGGCCAGCCCAGACTGGGGTGCTGGGACTCCAGCGGGTGCCATGGGCTTTGGAGCTGGGCCCTCTCCTGCCCGGCCTTGGGCAGCCTGGTCTCTGCCTTCCTGGGGCCTCTGCAGGCGCTACTCCCCACAGCACAGCCGACCGGGCCTTGTGGTGGGCCTGCAAACAGCCGCAGGGCTCCCTGAGCCTCACCAGCCCGGGCTGGGGCTCTGCCCCGAGCTGGTTAAATGGGCTTTTCTGAAGAAAGAAAAGCCCAGATGGTCTGGCTGCTCTGCCTGGAAGCGCCGGCTGCAGGGCGCGGTTCTGTCCTGCGGCTGAGCCGAACCTCAAGTGAACAATGGGAAGGGTTGCGCGTGCAAGTTCAAAACTTGCTTTAATACTCCCGAGTGAAACGTGGGCTCTGGCTCTGGGAGCTGACAACGAGCCACCTGCGTCAACACCCACGGGGAGTAAACAATGAAGGGATGTAAAGGCTGCTGAAGCAAATTTAAAATATTTCCAAGGTATTCTGATATGAGTCCTTGTTTTAGCCAGCTGTCACCATTGCTCTCGCAGGGGGAACTCTGTGTGCGTGTAAATAGAACACACATGTACTTGAAAATTTGGAATAAGGGGTGGAGAGTTTCATGCCAATACTGGAGTATTTGACTTCAAAAATTCCTGAGTGTTTTCTTTTTTTTTTTTTTCCTGTTAAACACGGATATTTGCTGCTCTCTAGTGGCTATTTAACAAAAACCTTGTGCGGCGCCAGTGAATGCGGAGTGGGGGTTAATTCTAGCTGGCCTCAGAATGGTTCAACCAGTAAAAATACATTTTCTTATAGTTTAACTGTCCCCATTTTTGCACGTGGCACTGGAGGTAGTACTGTAAAGCCTTCTCTGCTACTAAAAACACAACGACAAATGTGTCGAAGCCTGCAGACATGAGTCTGGCATCTCTTACTCCTTTGGAAGTTATGGCTCTTACCCCACTGGAAATTAGGGATGGAGGAGATTCCTGTTTGTTCTTTGTGTGGTTCTGCGCTCTTTTAAAATTCTATTTTCGATTTTATTTTGATGTAGGGATAATCCTCGTTTTAAGACCTGACAAGGGTCAGGTCAGCTTTGGGTTTTGCTGAAATGCTGCTTCCTTGTCAGCATGCCTGTAGCAACTGCAAGGCAGTTGGGATGCGGTGGGGAACGCTGGGGGGTGGGATGCCATGGGGAAGGCTTTAGGGTGACAACACAGGTGAAGCTGTTTTGCTTTATTTCCTCAGGGAAATATGTTGTTCTTTTAAATTGCTCCCTATGGAAGGCCTGCAATTACAGGCTGTAGTGTGTCTTGTACCCACAGAGGTTGTCGCTCGTGCACACACGTGAGGAGTTGGTAGCTGCAAATTCAGTCTTTCAGGGTTTTCTGGCTCACTGAATTGAGTTGTAAACAAAGGTATCCTAGCCCGCCTGATTCAGAAAGCATCCATAGGATGCTCCATGTCCTTACCCACTTTTATGGAATATGCCCACTAAATAAATATGTTGCTGGACCAATGCCTCAGGTGATTCATTTGCTGCGGTGGTGCCACCTCGCCAATACCAGGAGGCAGGGGCTGCAGGTGGCACGCGGCTCTGTTTAGTGGCAGCTAGCATCAGGGTGGGCAGAGGTGGTACAGCGTCCTGATGAGCTCTTTGCTGGCCAGAGATCAATCTGCTGCCTTTGGGGGTTTTCTGGGGAATAGAGGCAGAAGATGACAGAGGCTTTGCTAACAAGGCTCTTATTTTTGAGCTGGCTTTACAGACCTTTACAGTCAGACTAAAAAAACCCTTGATAATAGATTTTAATGAAACTCTTTAGTTTTATAAGGATGCTATATATATACAGAAATACAGCCTTTCCTTTTTTTCAAGGTGGAGAGGAAGAGTGAGTTAGTACCTGAATTGTTGCTGCCACTTAGCAGAGCATGACAAGCACAAGGATAGTCCCTGGATAGTCTTAGTCCTCACGTTTGTTTACAAGAAAAATAATAAAAAGGTACTACCGTGACTTCATGTAAGGTGCTTACTTTCAGGTAGTTTTTCGCAGAACCGGCCAAAATCTCTCAACAACATCGCGTTTCCACTGGGAAGTGACGACAGCAAGGCTGAAAATAGTCAAGCTGGGCTTTAAACACAGAACAAAGAGGGTGCAGTGCGGCTGGCCTGGGCTCACGCTGCTGCCAAGCGTGGCCGCGGGTGATTGCATGCCACGTCCGTGTCCACGCATAAGCATGGCGGCCGCCTCGGTGCTGCTTATGCTTTACATGGCCTTAATCTTACCAAGAAAGTTCATTAAATAATATTGGACCAAGAGAGTATGTGGCTACCCTGTTGGTGTCACAGCCACTACTCTCGCTCTACAACTGACACGTGTTCTGATACCTGTACGTTGGAAGAAATAAAGATAGTTCATCTGCTTTGTGTTAATTAGTATATTGAATAGATCTGCATGGAAAACAAAGGGCTACTTTTCATGTTTTGCAAATGCTAGATCTGCAGTTATTTCCTGTTTGACCTCAGCCTAACGTCACGGTGGTGTAGTGGAGGGGTAGTTTTTTAAGGAGGGATTTGCTGCTTGTGTGGGGTTTTGAGTTGTTTGGTGGTTGTTGGGTTTTTTTTTTAATATAATTATCTTTCATTAGGAAAAGAAGGGTGAAAAGAGGAAAAAGTCAGTAGCTTTTGGCTTAGGTACTTACTTCGAACACGTAAAAAACCCTAAACGCATAAGCCTTGACATGGTCTTGCCGTGCCTGTCGGAACTGACTGACACGTGCTTTGATCCCGTGGGTGCAAGCTGTGGTCTGGCCCGTGGGCATCCTTCTGGTCTCAGCAGGGAGTTCAGGGGGACCTCTCTGGGGCCCTTTTTGTCCCATAGCCAAGGAGGTTCAATGACTCTGAATTTTGGCAAATGCAGAAACTGCTCCAACGGACGGTCTCTCTCTCTCCGCCGCTGCGTGGGGCGTGGGTAGGACGGGAAGGCAGACACGAGCGGGGATGCTGCAGCACCGTGACCCACTGCATTAGCCAGAGATCCAGCTGCAGCAACAGAACTGGTGCAGATTTACGTTGGTTACATTTAAACTGGCAGCAAAACAGACTCATCCCGGTGTTGTCTGCGCGTTACGAGGGTGTGAGAGGTGACAGAATTTCACCCTACATTTTTCTTCCCTATCTTTCCTCTGGTTGAGAAACCGTCAGTAGTGGGCACTGAAAAACTAACTGACTGTTACAAACAGTCTGGGCCATATTTGAAGGAAAATTCTGCAATTTCAGGCCCAATGAAATAACTAGAAAACATGGCAAGATACTCTTTGAAAAACTATTAACAGTAATTTAAAAAACCAACCAACCAAACTGATGCTTGCCAATCAGTGCTGAATAGCAGAATTAAATATATATATTTACATGTCTTAAGGAGCTGGGTGCAGAGAAATTATGATAGTTCAGTTAAGGTACCCAAGTGGGTGCTGTTCCTTTTTATGCTGCTCTGGCAGTAAAAGAGAGTGAGCCATTATTTCTACATTTAACACTTGTACATATTTATTCAGTTAAATCAGCCATTGTACACATTGCAGCTATGTATTGTTAGTGTTGTATTTTTTTTTTTAATTTTTAACTAATACATGCCCTCATAGATATATTCAATTAGTGTTATCACCATGGGAACAAGATGCTGATTCGTCAACTTAAAATTCACTTCTTCTCACAGTATTCAAGTTCTTTGATAACACAGCAAAAAAATCAAAATAAGAGGTGAATAACCATTATGTTGTTACACAGAACATCATCTGCACCGCAAATAACACAACAGAAATGCATTTCTTTAGAGCCCCATCCTTGAAGATCATCCTGTGCTGTCTCTGACAATAACGAAGCCATGATGCGCTGTGAAATGTTTCCTCATGGGTCTCATTCAGTTTGGCTGCCAAAACACTTTTTTTTTTTGGTTTGTGGTTGTTCTTTTGTTCCTGCCTGCCAAAAATGGTGTTAGCATGGCACCTCGTGTTGCTTTGCCTGCAGGAGGCCAGGACTCCCAAGAACTTTTCTGGCATCGTTACCGTAATGAGGAAGTGCCCTTGTTCTGAGCACTGAGTGAGTCGTTAAAAAAACCAAACAACCCTATAGTCGTAGAAGGCCAGATAAGCTTGGAAAAGGTATTACTCCTAGAGGAGAGGATTCGTTTTACTCTGGTTTTGAGTACATTATTAAAAAAATCAAATAGCTGTTTAAAAACATTTAGTGTGTCTGTGTGTATTCTATATGCTAAAACACTACGGGTCTCTCTGCGTCAGATCTCCGCGTTCCCTTGTTTGAGAATGAGAGTGCAGACATGCTATCGTGGTTTTCAGAGGGTTGGTTTAGAAATACAGATAGATAACAAAATGCGAACAGAAACTGGCTATCAAGGATTGTGAGCGCTTTCTCTTTTAAAAAACACTTGATTGGAGGATAAAAACTGCTCGCTCAGTGCTGAGAGGGCTAACAAGCTGACACGATTATAGGAGGGTTTGGCTTTGACCTTCAAACGCCACATGCATGGATCGGCTAAGAGGCAATCTTGATAAAACACGGTGAATTAATTAGTCTCGTTGTACAGTGGGTAAGTCTTCCTCCAGAGTTATCTACAGTGCAGTGGCCAGCAGGAAGTACCACCGATAAGACAGTGTGGTTTGCTAAGCTGTGATGAAAACAGGAAACTACTGTAGTTATAATTGTTTAATACACCCTGCCACGTGTCCAGATCTAAAAGATTTTAATACCGTATGCAAATGTGCCATAGATATAGCTGCTAGCAAGTTGGTTACCTAATTGGGTATTCTTTTTTTTTTTTTTCCTTTTTTTTCTGGAAATCTTTCAGTGGCTGTCCAAAGGTCTTAGAAGTATTAATGGCCACAGCCAGCTCTTACTTCACGAGAACAGCTGAATTTCCAGGATTTTAGCCTGACTCTTAGAGCCTTTAACTATAATAGATCCCTAAACTGGAAGTCTTACGGATGCAGCAGATCTGCAGTGCTTCCTCCTCAGTCAGTCTGTGTTTGCAGTCGACCGTGTTAACGTCATTTTATTAATCGCTGTTCAGCAGTGTCAACAGACCTTGTAATCCATGATGCTAATTGCAGTCACAGGCAGTGTGTTTTCTGCAGTCTTCTAAGTCCAAATACTCTTGCTATATACAGTTTACACGTTAACTCCCTTTTTTACGATGCATGTACACAGTCACTCGAAGAGGCCTGTCGATGAAGTTGGCTTGACAAACGCGATTTCGTTAAGCTGGTGCAGAAGCAGAGGAACAGCAAGAAGTGGCGATGCTGACAAATTCCCAGTACAGCACAAAGACGGCAGGGTTGGTGGATAAATCATCCCGAACGAAGGATGCTATCTTTGGTCACAAATTAGCTTACAGGGTAAAAAAATAACAAAAACCCAAAATCAAATACAGGGCGAGGGGAAGAAATGAATTCACTGCGTCTGCACAAGTAGAAATGGCAGTGTCTTCCAGTGATGATGTAGGTAGTAATGTCTACACCTAGAGAAGATGAATGCTGCACACGGGACGGATGGTTACGTGGTGTCGTTGAGGGGTGGCAGCTTCTCACTTCGCCTCCTGTTTCCAGTCGTCTTTGCAGAAGTGTCTAAGAAGCTGCTGGAGGTCATGTTGGAGGTCATCCTGTGGTAGCGCTTCTGGGGTGTCTTCCAGCTCTTCTATGCGAACGTGTTTTCCATACCGGTCCTTCATCACAGTCCTCTTCTGTGTGCTGGCTTTACTCAGTGTTGTCCTGAAACAAAACAAATGAGAAAACTGTCTTAAAAAGCCCACGGTTCCTGAAGGTTTTAAAAAAGTGCTCCTTTTCAGCTACAGTTATAAGTTTTTTTCCATTTAAAAATAACGTGAGAAGAACTGTGGCTGGCAGCTGAAGCCAGCCACTGAGGACATATATTCCTTATGCATTCTGAATACAACACACCCCACCGCTTTAAGTGGCTTTCAGAACATAAACTAATTAATAGCCATTCACCTGCATATGCTGATTAAACATACGGTTTTAGATGCTCAGCAGCAACATGCCACAACACAGAGACATGCAACCTGTGCTGAAATCCACACAAGGCCTTCCTATCCGCTGCGCTGAACTTCAACGAACAGGGTTGTCCTGGACAACAGTAATTTCAGCTGATTCAGTTCTTGAACGCTTAACTTCTAAACCAATCTTGCTCCTGGCAGCCAGTAAAACTACATTTGTGGTAATCTAGTGTCCTAAACTATTCTGTTAATTACTCTCTTCCCTCACTGGAACCATCTTGCTGTACTAGTAAGAACCTTACACCTTCACCAAGTCCCTTCCAGATCTAGATGGAAGGGTCTAAGGCCACAGTCTGGTCAGGATGTTCCTTCAGGTGCCACCCCAGTGGCCACTATCCCTTCCAGTGGTCGGAAAGACAAGGTGTGGAAAAGATACCCAGCCCGTGGCAGCCTTGGCTCAAGTTGTGCGTGGGTCGGAATGAATACACTTGCTGTGCTACAGCAGCTCCTTTTTCCTCCCAGATATTTTCCTATCTGCCCTGCCTCATTCTTCATAAGGGTCACGTGTCACATGCATTTATCTCTATATATCTATCCCCACACATCCTCTCATCTGTTTGATAATGTTCAGATTATCAAATGATCACAGAGTCAACTGGTATGAAAAATAAGTATTCTTGAAGTAACCTTGCTTAATGTTGTTAACGCTAAATCACGCTGTTACTCTGGTATTCCTCCTAGGAAAGCTGCTCCGCAGTGATATCCCTTAGGACTGGGTGTAGCCAGGAGCCAGCTAACTTTCCTCACAGCCGCCTGTGTGGTGCACTCTTTGGCTGTGTAGGTAACAGACCGACGCGTGGGCTGCTGCTGAGCAGTGCTGACACAGCAGTGATACTTTCTCTTTTTCCCCCCGCTGGCCCCCTCAGTGAGTAGGCTGGGGGTGGGCATCGGATTGGGAGGGCACACAGCCAGGCCAGCTGACCCAGAGTGGACAAAGGGATATTCCACACTGTATCGCATTATGCTCAGCCATAAAACCTGAGGGCAGAGGAAAAAGCTGGGTGTTATGTCTTCCAAGGTGACAACTGCTCAGCGACTGGCTGGGTCTCTGCCTGCTGGCGGGCGGTGGGGAGTGATTGCCTTTGCATCACTTGTGTGGGTGTTCTTCCCTCCTTCCTTCACTTATTAAACTGTCTTCATTCAGCCTATGGCCTTCTCACTTTTGCTCTGCCTACCCTCTCCTGCTTTCCAGGGTGGGGCAGGAGGGTTAGGGAGCGGCTGCTTGGATGCTGGCCGGGGTGAACCCACTACACACCTATTCACCCAGCCCTTTCAAGTGAGTGTAGACCTTCCCAGTGCATGTATCTGTCCCTGTAACAGAATGTTAGTAGTGACCTTTAGTACTTCGGCAAATAAAGCTTTAGACACTGCCAGTGGTTTCACTTCAGGCACTCAAATCCACTCATTTATGATGAGTTTGTTAATTCTTTTCTAATAACGCAGTTCATTGACATGCCAAGCCAAACCTTTTAATAACCGATCCGTCCTCTTTCATGATTTCTTTCTCTACTAAAGCGGGGAGTTGGAGTTTCAGTTGGTTACCTGTATAGCTCAAAGCCTCGAATTAAAACATAAACTTCAAATTAAAAAAAAACCCTAAAACCTAGGACAGCTGCTCTTCATACCTTAGTGCTTTATATTAATGAGGTTGAATGCTAGGAAATGATGAATAGACAATTAAGAGCAGTATCTGCCTGCCCTTTGCATCCTTTCAAATATTCCCTAAATGTACAGATGTACAGATAGCTTCTTCTATAGGAGAGTTTCACCCTATACAAGGAATCACGGCCAATGCTTCTGAGCCTCCACTGTACTGAAAGGGGAGAAGCAGGGAATGGAGCTCGGCAAACTTTTCCACAGAGTATCTGCTGTTACTAATGCTTAATAGATCATGGAAAAATAGGAAAAAAGGCAGCATTTCTATTTGCCTGGAGACAGGTTTGTCTGTGGTGTCTTCTGCAGGCTGCTTGATCTACTAAACAAGACGCTGCAAGATGGGAAGTGTTATATTCCAAGCCATTTCCTTGAACCTCTACGTGACAGGTTTTGATGCTTGTTTTGTTATTGCCAAGAAAGGGGAATCTGGCTGCTGGGCCTATATTCCTAATGGGAAATTTGGCAGGTCAGTCTAATAGCTTAGTGCCTGCTGACTTTCTGCAAGCTGATAGCCCTTTCAGCAGAAAATAGCCAGACCGTGACATCATCGCATCAATGGTTTTGTATGATATTTTGTTAAGTTAAGAAACTAAACCAAGTATTTTTGTTGCATCTAATGACACAAAACTTCTATCCATGTGAGTCTTTAAGATGTGTTTAACGTGCGTTATTCAAAGGGACAATAAAATGGATTAAAAGTGAAGTGCTATCAGTTCCTTATAGAAAAAACTATTAATCCAATACCACTTTTCTATTATCGAAATGTCAAAACTGATCAGAAAAAGCACAAAACTGGGAAAGGTGCTGATTAGCTGGAAGCTATATCTTCCTTTCAAGGACAAATACATCAGCTTACCCAGAGTGGTGACTTAACTGTACCGATTTCTAAAACGAACTCCATGTGTGGTAACATAGGAATGAACCTGGACAGCATTCACGCACGTGATTTCTAACAACTTCACTTAAAGCCTACCTGGGTTGTTTTAGAATCTTAAAATGTTTCATAGCTAATTCTGTAACGCTGGATTCCCTGCCCCCCCAACTTTACATACTAATCCTTTTGTAACATGGCTGATTAACAACAGAGGTTTATACTTGGTAGTAGAGTATGATGCTCCACCAACACCACTTTCAATAGAGTAGAATTTGTCCCCAGGTAAGTTGTGTCACTTGTTTTAATATTCATATTTAAATGGCATTTTTACCTCTTCGAAGTCCTCTTTGGCTGACGGAAGATCAGTAGCTAAGCTAGCATCCCCCAGGTGTTTCTCCGTTCTCTCTCCTTGCACGACAGTGGTCTTTATGACTTTGCTGACCTTCCGGCCTTCCACTGGCTCAGACTGGAATTTGGAGGCACTAGGCAGAACAGCAGGTTCAGACAGGGTCACCTGTAAGGTTAGAAAGCAGGAGGACACCGGATATGACTTACATAAGGGATACCAACAAAACTTTTAGTTACTCTGTTGTCCTTTCTTAATCATTGCCATAGAGAACAAGAACATAAGAAGTGTCTCTCCATGTGTACGCATCAAAACAGTGAGTGTACATTTTATTCCTTGCTTCACAGCTCTGGAACGAGACACTCTGTGATACGTGCCAGTTCAGACAGCAGGAACAGCCCTGGATAATTGATTCTGCTGAGAAGGTTTTTGCTGGCAGGGTGAAAACTGCTTCTGCAAGCTGAACTAGCCTGAGGGTAGCAGGGATATTGCTACCCTCCCCCCGACCATAGGCTGCCGCACTGGCTTAGCGGCCAAGGCCACTGGAGTTACACCAAGCAGACCCCTTGCTGCGAGTCCTTGCTGTATTCACACAGGTAGTGTGAAGTAGTGCCATCACCCCGTGTCTTAATTTTAAGATACTCTTCTGAGAGGTGTGCCACACTGGTAAATCCAAGGAACTCCTACAGGAGCAACAGACCAGAATATTACAAAACCATGGGAAAGCAACAAACGTGATTTTATTTGGCAAAATACGGATGTAATGTATATGAGTTCCATGTAATAGAGAGTGGCTCTGGCACGGTCAAACAAAATGACTTTGTCTTCTCATTACCTTCCTTCTAGAGAATTAATTCTGATGATTAATTCTAGTAAGAGAGAATGGCAGTTACATTCTTAGCATCTCTAACGACCGCTTGTTAAATGTTGTTTTCAGCTGCAGCACTATGGAAGGCAAGCCCTGTCACTAGCTTCTGGCCCTCTGTCACAACCTTAATTTTGGTCATGCAGATATCTGTAGGGCTACATGGTGAGCTAAGGCAGGAAAAGATAAACTGAAAGGCACTTACCTTTTCAGGTTGTTTTTTCTTTTTGCTTACCTGGCTCTGCACACAATTTGCATGAAATTAATACCTTTTTTTTTTTTTTTTTTTTTAGCCTCTTCAAGGCAAAGAATACACCAGTAAGTTGAACCTAATAGAACTGTGGAGTTTTAGGTCCTAGCTGTAGAAACCTAGAGAACCTAGGTGATTTCACTGCAACATTTATTAATTTTCTTATTAGAGTAAGAGGTATAATAACAAATAGATTTGCCATTTATCTGTGTCATCTTAGCAAGAAGCCGCTTTCTTTAGGAATTTGGTACTTCTCCTAAAGCACAGAGTCTGTATCCCGACTTATTTTAAGAGAAAACTGCGCCGCCTCTCCCTGCCCACCTTCCCGTCCCTGACCTTTCATCTATCTTTGTTCTGAGGCCTTTCCATCTGCAAGAGAACTTTTTAAAGCATCATTCAGAACTGAATGTCGCTGGCCTAAGATGTGGTTACTAAGTAGACGCTTGGCGTGCTGCTGCTTTACACCGTCGCAGGGGAAGCGCAAGATCTGACCTCTGACTGTTCGCTGTCGCTCTTCAGCACAACCCGTTTTACAACTTTGGAATAGCCATCTCCTTCTTCAACAGTGACAGGTTGTTGTGGCGTTCCTTGCATTAGGACTTCCTCTTTTTCTGTGCCATCTGGAGAAACGTATCGCCGGATGATCTTTCTAGTGACCTGAAGGAATGAAATAGAGCTTTGTCCCCAAAGAATTAACAATAACATATTCCTCCTTATTCTCTATATAGTATTTTCTACTCAAAGGACATTTTTTTCTGCACAGAAAACCCCACATAGATGGTTCAGTGCCTTAGCCTTTAACACATATACTCACAAGTACCTGTAGTAGAGCTGCAAGTTGCTGCATTCCCCCTACTTAGGTTACCACACAGCAAAGCTTCCATAAACTTCACAAGTGGGCACAATGCAGGTATTGGAACGACCCTCTAAAGCAGTAGCTATTACTAGGAAATGAGGTATAGTATTTTAGAAGGAAAACAAACTTAGCACAAGTGTCGTTTCTCTCTAAAATAAACAAGTCACATTTTCAGCCTGGCATTTTCAAAAAGGCTTCTGAAAGTAAGAGGTTAGCAGCTTGGCTATCGAATTCCTAGAACTAGATTCACAAGGCGGCTTGGACAACACATCGTAACACCAACGCCAGTAACCGCTGCTGAACGAGTAAGCTAGGATTAACCTACTTCAGAGTGTAATCTGGTGCTTAAGCTTTCTAGGCACTGGCAAACCAAACAAAGAGGAGCAGAAGAGAGTTACAGGGTTCAAGATGACATGATTTTCTCAGGAGGATGGGTACGCATCCCGCTGTGGATGACCTGGAGCTCTGCATTTCTGTACGCCTTGCCAGCTCCTTTTGACAGGTAACATCAAGCAGTTAACACCTGCTTTGTCCAAAAGTTTTGACGCTCAACAGACTGGGTCACCTGCATTAAGAGGCACAGGGGTGGGCGTATTGTCCTCCCAGGCATGGACCTACCCAGAAGAATACAGTCATGCTCACTCTGGCACAACAGAGGAATATTTGGCTGGGCTTGTTGATTTTAATGTGAATTCAAACAGTTTCCAGAGACATGTGATCCAGCTGAGGGCCCTTGATGTTGTCTTGGGAGACAGAAGACAGAGTTTGCCACAAGCAGAATTCAGCCACATCCTAGACAAATTCTCTAAGCGCTGAGTTGTCAGGTAAAGCAAGGAGCACAGAAGTTCCTCTTCTGTGCTGTGCAGAATTCACTTTTATAAGCATGTTCTGAAAATGCTTATTTCGTGAGGCCATCACACAACTCAGTACTTTCCATACTCTTTGTGCCATAAAAACCAAACTGTATGTACAGACACAGAAATTGTGGAACCTGTTCAGGCACAGCTGAGTGGAGATTCTGAAGACTCTAAAGTATGGATTTAGATGACTCTTGCAGACCTAGCCCTCCATTAGTTTCGTTAATGCACGCACACGTGATCTTAGATAAAATTGTGGTCGTGTGTTTTTTCATGGATTTTTTTAAACCTGTTTCTCAGAAATGTGGATCTGTGCAGAATTTTCATTGGCTTTAAGTGGCAAAATTAACAGAATATGTCATGTTAAGTTATAAAGTGTAAACCAGCATGATGTTGCGAATCAAAATAGATCATCAAACTTTGGGATCTCTCACAAACGGAAATTCTGGCTTCTTGCGCATTCTACTCTTAAAAATCATGCCCCTTCACAAAAGAAAACTTGGCATGTACATGGATGTATTTATCCTTCCTTTTATAGGACAGTAAGAAGGCAGCAAGGGGCACAACTGACAATACCTTCTTTACCACTGTGTGGCCATGTTCATCTGTGTACTGCTCTTCTGTGACTGTTTCAGGTGGCATTTCAGGCATACTATCAGCCTGTGTGACAAAGAACAAAGTTTTATGAAGCAAGGCCTTCATGTAGATAGCTTTAAATGAGCCATTTTGAAGTTGGTTAGTGGGTTAAAGGATGAAACCAGAGAAACGTTCAAAAAAAAGCTGTTCTGCAAATGAACACTTGGGAAGGCATGCAGAGTTATGCCACCAGGGACGGGCAAATGCATGTTAGCTGCCCACACTGAGTACGGGGCTGAGAAGTCTTTGTTCTCCTCCTGCTGAGGCATCTAAAGGCATATAGAGTTGGGTTAGCAGCGTCACTGTAATTCTCCCTTCCAGAACAGGAATTGGGATGGCTTATCCAATGCCCATGCATTATTCAGGAGCGATACCTGCCAAGCGGCTGTCTCAGCAGCATGCCCAAAGGTGTTCCCAGGCCCTCAGCACCACAGGCTCGTGCAGTTGTTCAACACTCAGTACCTGAATAATCACCCGGCGACGAACGACCCTGGTAGTGACCATCTCGTCCTCATCTGAGCTGGTCTCCAGCCCACCTAACTCCTCCGCTAATTCCTAGTGGAAGCATGGAAGCAGTGCCCTGTTGTATGTGGTACTAGCAGTACTTACAGGTTCTGTCTTGTTTTCATCTAAAACCATATTCACACTGAAAATGTTTGCTTATAGGATTTTGGCCTCTTACCTGACTTTAATCTGTGAAACACTGATGTGGGGTGGGAGGCTTTGGCCACTTGACTATACATTAGCTGTTCATTAGCATACTGAAAAAAGAAGGATAAATCTTTGTGGTACTAATCCTACAGGATGCTCTTAGTGCTCTGAAGGTTGCCAGGGACAGGCCTGAAACTTATGGCATGACGTTGCTGGAGGTGGACTAGGAAGTATGACTAAAACCAACTCTGGATTCATACATACTGCATATGGTGGCTGTATTAATTACAAAGAAAATTATATGAAAGCCTTTGCAGCAATAGACAGTAGGAGTAAAGGGTTTTAACGGGAGGACAACATATCAATAGCCTTGGCACTGGAAAGATCAAGAAAAATTAGTAGCAAGTGTTGAAGTTGTTCTCTCTCCTGCATAGGGAAGAATTAAAAATTTAAATGAAGAGGTGAGAAGGCAAAGAGAAGCTGAAAAGAACTACTTGGGGAATATCAACAGTATAAAAGGGAAAATAAATAAGGGGGAGGTGTTGTTCCTTTTTGGTGGTGCTGGTTGGTGTTTTACATCAATAAAAGAACTGGAGGGAAAAAGAAGTGCATTATCTTTGAGGGCAGCCTTTCCTACAGCAGCCGCTGTACTGAGTCCTGTTGTAGCTGATCTTCCAACGTCCGAGTTATCCTACCACACATTTTATAGTCAACCTTCTTCTGCCATCCCAGAGGCACAGCTGTGAAACTCTTCATTCCGGAGGCGGTGCATTTGGCAAAGAAACAAACATAAACAGCAAAGAAAGAAGAGCCTGTTTCTAGGTGAATGCCAAAACAGGAAACAATTTCAGCTTAAGTAGAACTGTGCTCTAACTTCACTGATAAGACTGATTTCCCTCCCAACTATGCCTTTTCCTTTCCTTCTGCTTAGACCAGGCAAAGCAAGCTGTTTATTCCTAAACCTTTATCTGCCAAGTAATTTAAATTCCCCACTAAAAGCCATATAGTTGCTTTCTTTCATTGCCTCCTGATGTCTTCCCCTCTCCAAACACTGCAGTAAGGTTCCTTTGTCTTACACAACCAATCACCCACCTCACATCGTGTTTGTTCTTCTCCTCCATCTCCCGTCTCTGTTTCTCTTTACTGCCTGCACGCTACATAAACACCATTCTCAAGTTCTTTTCTTCCTGTACAACTTGAGTGTGCCACAACATACATCCTGCTGCCTCTTTTCCATCTCACTAACTTTATTTTTCATGACATTCTTCATGCTGTCTTGCATTTCTTCTAAAGATTTTATAATTATTACTTTGTCTTTCGTTATATCTGGTTTTGAGCTTTCACTTGTACGTGGTTTGTTTCTGCCCCTGTTATTTACACTAATTCTCTCTCACATGCATGGGCATAACTGTGACACACCAAAAACTAAGAGTAGCAGAACCAGAATTACAGTCTAGACATTATGATCTGTGTTTTTCTTCAGCTTTGAAGGCCTCTGTACAAGTGACCATAGCTAGCCCTTATATATAAGGAAAGGAAAAAAGACTCAGCTGCAGATAGGGATTAATTAGGCTGATTAAAAATATTATCATCTTAAGAAATAAGCAAGATGTAAAACTTGTTCTTCTGTGTCAATTAATTTGAGGCAAAGTTGTTACTTACCTTTTCTAAAGATTCCTCTTCATAGCCACTTCCAAGCTTCTCTGTCTGCTCATCAGTTGACTCCACTATCACTAAACTAGTTCTCCTTGGAGAGAGGTCATCCTGGTGGGGGTCCTCGGGCTCCTGGATGATGGGAGAGTCACCTCTCTGAGCAGATGATGGGGACTGAGGGGCTGGTTTTTTTCTCTCCTCCTCTGCCACACTGAAATGTGCAGATTTTTCGCTTGCTGCTTTTCCAGTTCCTGGTGCTGTGCCCTGCTCTGTTCCTGGAGCTGTGACACTGCGAATTACAGGTTTGAGGGAAGTTACTACCGTGCAGTGCTTTCCCATTTCCACAAATGAAACATCATGCACTGATTAAATATTGTTGTCTGTTGTCTAGCAAAAGTCTAGAAATAACTGATACTCATTGACTTTGCAGCCCTGAGGAGAAGGACT